GTTTTTTTTTTTTTTTTTTTTTTTTTTTTGACGTCTCCTTAGTGCCGCGGTGGTCCTAGAAATAAACATACTCCAAATAAGGCCGCTGTTTATCAACCTTCGGTGTTGAAAACGTCTCACGTCTCACTGTGATGCGTGCGATCGTGTTGGGAAACAAAAGAGGAATGTTATTTAGCAACGTCTTTTTTATTGATCTTTTTATTAACGTGACATCTGGTTCGGTCAGACCAATTACGGTGGAACCTTCGGGGCAACATTTGTCCACTCGGCCAAAGTTGAACCTTGGTACAGCTGCGACGCAGGCCGGAGTTTCTCCGCCACCACCATCTCTGTGGGCTGGGTTCAACTTACGAACATCGGCATCTGCGCTGTCTGCTGTTGATAATGAGTTCATTAAAACGTTCGTCTGGAATCAGGTTAATTTGTAGCCGGTTCGATACAGAACCACATGTTCTCCGACTATGTCAGGAAATGTGTGGGAGAGCGGACAAATGTGTGGTTGTATCCTGTTAGTAGTTAGACTTTAGCTTGTGACCATTACCGTTTTTTGGTGTGAGTACTTACTGACACACTAACATATATATATATATATATATATATGTTAGTGTGTCAGTAAGTACTCACACCAAAAAACGGTAATGGTCACAAGCTAAAGTCTAACTACTAACAGGATACAACCACACATTTGTCCGCTCTCCCACACATTTCCTGACATAGTCGGAGAACATGTGGTTCTGTATCGAACCGGCTACAAATTAACCTGATTCCAGACGAACGTTTTAATGAACTCATTATCAACAGCAGACAGCGCAGATGCCGATGTTCGTAAGTTGAACCCAGCCCACAGAGATGGTGGTGGCGGAGAAACTCCGGCCTGCGTCGCAGCTGTACCAAGGTTCAACTTTGGCCGAGTGGACAAATGTTGCCCCGAAGGTTCCACCGTAATTGGTCTGACCGAACCAGATGTCACGTTAATAAAAAGATCAATAAAAAAGACGTTGCTAAATAACATTCCTCTTTTGTTTCCCAACACGATCGCACGCATCACAGTGAGACGTGAGACGTTTTCAACACCGAAGGTTGATAAACAGCGGCCTTATTTGGAGTATGTTTATTTCTAGGACCACCGCGGCACTAAGGAGACGTCAAAAAAAAAAAAAAAAAAAACAAAGTTCAGAACTCAAAACATCCAAGCAAAACAGGGGGACAACAGGGAGTAAAAAGAACAGAAGGGCAACGGGAAACAGACCTGGCGTTTTCTCCCGATGATAAACAGCAGAACACGGCGGTGACGACAGGAACTACTTGACAACACAATGGCCGAGCAAAAGACACAGTGAGGGAGGGAAGTATCAAGTGTGTACGGAAAGGATGAAAGGATGCAGCATAGACTTACATTTTTTTTTAATTCTTGCGACCCACGCAGAACAACTTGTTGGGCCACATTTGGCCCGCGGGCCTTATGTTTGACACATGGTCTATGCACACACAAAAAAAAAAAAACACACATGATGACTTTT